AAAAAAAAAAAAAAAAAAAAAAAAATCAAACAAAAAAGAGAGTAATATAAAAAATAAAAAATAGATTAAATAAAGTAGTAGAAGAAGAAGAATTGTGTCTCAGTGAGTGCCTATGTGCTCTTGCAAACATCAGAAGCTAAACCTTTTGGCAGAGCAAAGCAAGCTCCCTGGGGTCGATATTTAATCCTGAAAAAGCAAAAAATGTCACCAGAATTAAATACCAGCAACTAAGAAAGAAGCTGAAAAAACACGGGCTAGTAAAAGTAAGTTGCACAATGAAGAACACATCAATTTTCTAAAAATAAAGGTAACCATCGCTTAAACTTTAGAACTCTGTCACAATTAATTCTAGTGACATGTTCAATTGCATCAGACAAATAGTATTAACAAAATTATTTTCCGGAAACCAGGTAATGTTCATGTGGATAAAACAAAAGGCTATACAAGGAAAATAAATGTAAGTGCACAAAATAAATAAATAATTGAAGAAAAGAGTTGGCACCATGAGCAGCAGCAATTGCAGACATGGTGGCAACTTCCACAGATGCTGAAGACGATACACCTTTACCTTCTGGAACAGCAGATGAAACCTGCAGATTCACCAGGAATATTAATTTCGGGTAATCAATTCGTGATTTGAAATGTTGTAGTTAAATGGAAGAAACATCGCCAAGAAAATAAATAAAATGTTTTCAGAATAAATTCGTGTGGATGATACCACCCAATAATAGTTTTTGATCAAATTATTCATCAAGCATGAAATAGATTGAAGAAAGACATTAAATCTTCAGTGGAAAATGCTCTCAGGGATATAAAAATAAATACTTCGTTAAAAAGTATTTTTTCATTCTATAGCAAGTTACTAGAGGGAAAAAAATAAAACTCATGATATTCTCAATTAATAAAGATAATGACTCGTACCAGCATACTAATGCTATTCTCAAAGCGAATTCCAAGTTCTTTCATCAGAACCAAAATGGTCCCTGCAATATATGCCGCCCATCTAGGAAAAGAACCTAGTTAGTGCACCTTATTAGAAGTCATTTAAAACCAGACAACAACATACAATAAAATTAAAACCTTTGGGATGGATCCCGGGCAAAATAACATCTGGCCTGTTCATACGACATTGGCTGATCCCCATCCATGAAATCCGACAGATCCATGTCAAAAGTTGGCCCACGATTGCTCAATTCAGATCCGTAAGATACCTTAATGAAGCAGATTAGGCAATAAAACCTCAATACTAAGAAATTTCAAGAAATTCCAAGAAAAGGTCAAAGATAATTCCACAACGATTTGCCATGAAATTCAATTTTAGAAAACTAAAATTCAAGGACACCGATTGGACATCTGACTCTCGATAAATTTTCTTCTGACACATTTTAGGCTTTTCTGCCACAAATTGAATAACTAAGCTATCATATATCGGAATTGAAATTTTTTTTAAAAAAAAAAAAAGAAATTGATTTTTAAAGATGTTTCCACATACAATTTGTAGAACTGGAGTTAGTCCTTTCCCTTTCGCATTCTGTCGAGCCTGAGCATGTTTCCAGAGCCTCTGTTTAGTTGGATGGATATTTTGCACAGCAACGTGACAAGCTTCTCTGGTGGGCATCTATAGATATTTTATAGTGACATAAACATCAAATCAATGATTCAGTGAAATCTCTAGTAAAACACTAATGATGTTTTCATCATATTCACAAATCGCATTTTGAACTTTTAAACCTTTGAATAATAATAAATGCTAGTTACCGAAAGGAAAATCACAAACAGTTTTAACAGACCTGTCCTAAAGTATCATCTCTGATTTTAGACTGAAGAAAACTTTGCTTAGTTTACATCTTATGTATATAATTTTTATTTTTTTATTTTTTCGTTTGTAAAAAGAATTAAAATACCTGCAGAACAAGGCTTCCGGAGTAGTCAGCGATTCCACCCATGACATCTAATCTTCCAGGTGCTCTTGCCACATAAATGTCTTCCTGAACACCATTGTTATATTTAAACATATTAAGTCTGACACTAGAACTCATGAAAGAATTCAAGAGTCTGTTACATGAACCAAAGTGGTGTCACTGTCATGTAAAGAACAAATTAAGTTAAGCTTGAATAAAAATGAGAATTCTTCAACTTCACATTATACAACACACCCTGTTCCTGAGACATACAATGCATTTAATTTAATCAGTCATGCTTGCTGATGTTTTAATTAAACACAATAAACGAGATGGCTGAAGGGGAAAAATGAAGTATAACACATAATTCAGAGGGTAAAGTGCAACATGGAAATACATTGCGAGTTGTCCCACATTAATTTTATCACCACCAGTACCAATAACTTAATCAAAAGTAAAAATGCGAACATGCATTTATCAAGTTGAACAGAATAAAAATATACCTCCCAGTTGAAGAGGCCAGCAGCAGCTTTTCTCTCTCGCCTCTGGTGTTTCTCGGGACTCTTTACAGAATCAAGGGCAGCATCAAGTTCTGATAGGTTCTTCAAGAAACTCACGGTATCAGAAAGACCCATGACATCTCCATGAAGAATCTCAAAATCCTCAGGACTAGAAAAGAGATAGAGAGTCAATTGATAGAGAGTAATAAATAAAGGTGTTTGGGTCCTTTGGGAATGAGAATTTACTCACATAGGCATGCGAAAACTATCATCGTTCATCTCGGCCGTAGGAGATCCTGTACGGAGGCCAAGTTCATTTTCAGCATTTGCATACCAATCTGGAATGCTTAGATCTCTTCCCGGGACCCGTTGCAACTGATAACCTAGAACAATAGCATCTCGCAATCTTCTGGCGCCACTAAGCTAAAACATGAACAAGAATAGACGGTCTAGTTAGGAGGCAATTCAAAGTTAAAGTAAAGTAGCTCTCATAGAACACGCAGCATTTTGCAGTAAAAATGAGATTCTGGTCGTGTTTCAAACATTTTAACTGTAATTGTCAGAAAATATGAAATTGGTCTCAACCTTGTCTGACGTATAGTTTTTCCCAGACGCCGTGTCTTGCAAAATACGAGCAGCGACCTGGAGGTTTACATGGAATCAGAACCACATCAATCTTTACATAATTCCAAAATAGTGACAAAGCAATAAGACTACAAAGTACAACCCTTTACAAGCGTGAATCAAAGATCACAATTTTTATTAAAAGCATGCACTGAAATCCGTGTTAAAGAAAAGGAAAAGAATAACAAAGATAAATTTTTGAACTTCTTGCCATGGTGGAATCACAAGCATGTAACCATCAGAAAATTTCCATTTAACCGAGTATAAGATATAATGCGTCTCCAGTTTATTGAAATTAACTTCACCAAAAGAAAGACGACAAAGAAATCCAGCAGTGGAGTATTTAAGTTTTACTAGTGCAGGAGAGAATCATGTGTGTGAGCTAGAACTTACCAAAAAGAAAGAAATAAATAAAAGAAAAGATACATGATCTATAAGTGAAAAAACTAGTAGAGTCAGAGTCTTACTAAAATTGCTTATTTTTTAATTAGTACCACTAAGACATTATTCCCTAGAACTACTTCCGATGTATATGCTTAAGCACACACACACACATATATATATGCATAATTTTCGGAAAGGATTCTGAGGCACAGAAAAGGAGATGTGTTTACCTCACCACCATTAATGCCCCCCTCATAACACGGTTTTAAGCTAACTGCACGTTCAAGGTACGGACTCCAGTGGCCAGTAAGTAAATCTCTCCTTATCATCTCAACACCAGCTTGATAAAACTGAAATCAAATATGTTTTCAATAGATATACAATTCATTTTTGTTTTTCTTGTTTAACAGCAGATTATCGCAATATGCTTCAGCCCTAATTCAGAAAAATATTACTTACATTCCAAAACCATAACCAATATTACCTCAAGCATATTTCTCAAGAAAGGTTCTTCATTGAAGTAGTCCCTTCGCACAAAGACAAACGGTATCTTAAATGCCAATGCCTCGCTAACCGTCCCGTATCCAATTTTCCCTGGAAATTTGAACGAATTTACAGTCTTTTTGAGTGGTTTCACTCTGAGCAAAAACACAGCGTAGAGAAATTATATTACTGACCAAGCATACAGTCAGATGCCGCTATCACATCAGGAGTGTATGTATCTTTAGCTAGCTTCACAAAATTCGGAGGAAGGTCGAGACTTTCAGAAGCACCACAAACCTAGAAAAATAATCGAAAGAGATTTTTCTTTTACCATTTGTGCGGGAGTACAGTTAATATTAAGTGGTCCCATAAAACATGAAATGATAATCTGATAATGATGTACCAGACAAAGCCAACCATGAGGCAGGTACTCCTCCTTTAAAGTCCAACCCGATGGCTGCAATTAATGGCAATATTATATTTGTTCAAGCGAAGGCAATTGACCTCAACTTAGGAATCATTACATAGATTACCTGTCCACCAAAATTGAGAATAACGATCTTTACATCCTCTGGAATTCCAAGGTCTTTCCTCACCTAGAATATCACAAAGAAAATGAAGTATATATATGTATTAAGCGTTGCATTAAATAATACTATGACATCAATGAGTTTAAAGGGAATTTCTTTGGTGTACCTCCTCACGTGACTTGTGCAATCTCCTCACCACCAAAGGTACATCAATTGCATCACGGAATGCCGGCACTGTAGTAACACAAAATGCATTAGGAATAGTGAAGGCAAAGTAGAAATTGTCCAGCACTTAAAATGACAAACATATAAAAGGATTTGGGACGCTGTTGTACTTGGACAATAGCCTGGGAGGCGGATTAGAAATTCACAATGCGAATAGTCCTCAGCAATCTGCATCCGCAAAACATTACTTTAATGCACAAATAAGAAACAGTTGGAATTCTAAAATGTTCCCCATGTACAAAAAAATACATAGAGAGAAGTTAATACGTAAACAATAATTCAACAGTTCAATGATGACTGATACAGCTTAAATCCTACAACAATAAACTAAATTTAGATGCAAAGACACATAAGATAGCAGAAACACTAACACAGTTGAAATATCAGATAAGCATTTTATATACAGTATTGATACACAATCGAAGGAAAATATATTTGCAGTAAAATAGGCATATTTATTGCCTAGAATACAATTTTTAATTATGCTCTGGCGATAAAGGTTGACTGCAGCTGCACGCACGTGCAGTCTCATGCACCATGGTTAAAGAATGAAAAAGGATTTTTTCCACAACTTCAGAAAGGATGAAGGATAAACAGATTAATTGAATAATATACTAAAACATTAACGATTTTCCCAATAAAGCAAAACTAAGATTAATATAAACAGCTTTACTGAGGTCACCTGCCAAACTATGGACCGATGATGATGACCAGCAGCCATAACGTATTCAGCATAGATAAAGTCCCAACTGGCAATGCAACAAAATTAATAAAGATCAAGAATAACTTACCAGAAGACCGTAAAACTGGTCACACACGTGTGCAAGAGGTATAAAAACATTACCTAAAATTGGTAACACAAACAGAGCGGATCCCAGCATCAGCTGCTGCTCTACAAGCAACTGGAACAACATCTGATACCTGTCCTCGGCAATTTCAAAATAAATGTTAGATAAAAAAAATGCAAATACCCATACCAAATGTATTTGAAGTAGAATCCAAAATATGCATCCGTTGTAATCATTCTAATATCTAATAATCAGAAAATATACTAAATAGAATTGGATCCAGAAACAGCCTGCATAGCATAAGTTTTTACCACTAAGTCTGCCTTGATGGATTTCAACCACTCTACTTCTGTAGCCAAAATAGTATCACGAGGTACTACAGCAGTCTCAGAGTACTAAACAAAACAGTAAACAATACAGTCACAAATCAAAAAAGTAAAAGCATATGGTCCAAATTTATTATGCATAAGTAAATTTCTTTTCATGTTAATAACAAGGTACACCTTCTCCAAAGAAGCAAGCCGGTCAACTGTCAAAGCATCTGCTTGAACTGCTCCACAGTCTAACAGCACCTATATTTCCAGATAGTTTCACTTTCAAGGTAGCATAATACAATTTTAAAGCATTTTTCTAGAAATAAGATTTTTTTTTTATCATGACCTTGCGGAGGAAAAGGCCAGGGGACTGTATTTCAGTTGTGAAAACATAATCTGGTGCACCAGTAACCACATGAACATGATGGCCAGCAAGAATAAGATGCCGGGTAACCTAAGCAAAAGAAAAATGAGCTAAAATAGAACACCACAGATTGCAGAAAAGCCAAAAACAGTTTCAGGCTTCAGCACCTGTATTGAAGCAACATGCAATCGTTTCAACTAAACACTGATCCTTAAACTTTATCTCGAAAGCCATATTTCCCAAATTTTACATTCATAACTAATCAAGAGCAGCTCAAATAGTACTTGATCAAAAGAACCAGGAAGCAATCAAGGAAACAAAAGCGTGTTTGGAAATACAGAAACAAAAAAACTTCAAACAAAGAGATGATAAATTTACTGCACAAATGGTAGGTCCATCAAGCACCGTGAAACAAAAATCTCGAATTAAGGAAACGATATAAAGATACAAACTTTACCGCAAGAAAAACACAAACTCACACACACACAAAACGCATGATGATGGGGGAACAGATAAATGAACCTCAACAACCCGGGTGGCGTGGCCAAAACCATGGCCGGTGACATAGTAGGCGAAGACTAAAGGCCGGTTCAATGAGTCCTCTGCAACCATGTCTGCTAAGATGACGATCAAACAAAAGATGAAGAAAAAAAAAGGAAAAGAAGAAAATTTTTGCGTGTCCTCTTGAAAATGCTAAGAAGAATTTCAAGAAAGTGGGAAATGGGAGTACTACTGTTGCTCTGGATTAAGCTGAATTCGTAATTTATCAATCAATAAGCAATTCAAAGTTAATTTCACAGGTGGGGCGTTTTGACGTCAGTTTGAGGTGTGTAACTCTTTGGCTTAAAAAATAGGCTTTATCCAAAAAGGTTTTGTTTCACAGTTCTAGGAGATTGATGGTGACATTTAGCGTGCCTGATTCACCGAGATTCTGGGGTCGCGTATCGTGCCTGGCTTAACGTTTTCTCTTTGCCGTTTGAAATGATGTGCTGCTACTTGCTTAATATTGATTGTTAATTGTTATATTCTTTTTCTGTTATCCCACAACTAATACGAAATTTCGTATGATAATATTCTTTTTCTGTTATCCCACAACTAATACGAAATTTCGTATGATAAACGGGTTAGAGATACTAATTAATATTTATAAATTAAAATTTTTTATTAAATAATATTTATAAATTAAAAACATAGAATCAATATGTAATATAATGTACTTATATAATTTATTGAAAATGTATATAAAATTTAAATTGTACAAAATTACATAAAAATGTCTATTTAAAATTAATATACATCCTGTGCGTTTCACATAAATGATAATAAATTACATTATATTCATTTCAAAATATGTGTCATTTCAAAAATTTTATTCACAAATTCAATTTGACTATAACGTGATTCCATAGAATATTTATTTTGGTAAAATTTTATCATATATTTAAAGACCTTGTGAATAATAAGTATAAATATAAACTTATATTGTTTAATTAATTAAAATAAATTTATTTTTGTATAAATATCCAAATCAAAAAATTTAAGTAGATGAGTAAAAATTATTAGTTAAAAGATTTTTTATGCCAAAAAAATCGATATTCTTTATCATGATAAAAATATGAACAGTGCATTTCACACAAAAATTATTTGAAATGTCGTAACAAATAATGAATTTAATCGAGACCCACTAATTATACAAAAAAAAAAAAAATGACCAGAGCTTTTTCTATAAAAGAAATATCGATACACGCACATTATATCAAAATATCCGTTCATATTATTTTGTTGGAGTTACGGTAATTTTATTATGTTAATTTCATACGAAAAATTAAAATAAAAAATAAAACACATGCCTAAAAACCAATATATTAGCATGCGCATGATATAAAAAAGTACACCGTATATTGATTAATTTTTCAACAAATTTTCTACCAAAAAACAGTTATCAAATAACCTAAAGAAATTTGCTCACTTTATATCATATATTTATGAATTTATTTCCTATAGAAACAACTATCAATACCAAAAATAAATTCGTCCACTCTATACCATATATTAATTAATTCACATGATTTGAGTAATTAAGGTATCTTAAAATATAGCTTGATTACTTCCTTAAATAATGAGCCGCAATTTTCATAAGTGATCATTTGATATATATCATAAATTATTAAATTAATTTCCCGAAATAGTATAGATTTTTTTTAGGGAAATAGTTATTATTTAAAAAATAATCAAACCTTTATATATATATATATATATATATAGATACACAATTCTCATTCATTTAATTAAAAATTAACACTCTCTCTCATACACATATCTCTACATCATCTTTCCACTAATCTCTTTTCATTTAAGAGCATCCATAATGCTTTGGGTTCAATTCCAAAAAATTATACGTCACCTAAAAAAGACTCAATCTAAAAAAATATATTCTCCAGTGTAAATAAAATTTGACTGGGCCCTGCTGATGTGATAGCCAGAAAAAGAGACTCGATCTCCCCTTAAGTTTATTTTAGACCCAAGTAGAGACATAGTCTCTTTGCATTGAAGTGAATTTTGTTAAATTTACATAGTTTTATCCATGTCATCCAAGACTTAGGTTTATTTACATGTCACATAGCAAGACTAAACCCAATGCATTGTAGATGCAACACACACCCACATTCCTATGATCCATTCATTTAAATACATATATGAGATTCATTATCCACTCATTCAATATAAATTTTAACATTCTGTTCTCAATAAAAATAAATTTTAATAAGTAACTTGTGAAAATGGTAAATTTGGCGGAGTTTGTGAATTTTGGAAGAATGAAATTTCATCTGAATTGCTAGGATTAGTACGTAAGAAATTTTGAAAATTTTGCATATTATTCGAATCCATTTTTTTAACACAAATGAACAGCTGTTAAATTTTTTTGTGCAGAAGAAGTGTAAAAATGAGGTGTATTTATAGGCAAAGAATGAGAGATATAAAATATAAATGATTGATAAATATTGAGAAGTGTGATATAAATAAAATTTGAATTTATCGATATTAAAAATTGTGATATAAATAAAAAATGAAAATAATATGATTAAAAAATTTATTTAAAACAAAAGTAAAAAATAAAAAATTGGGTTGAACGCGATCAACCCATTGAATGCACCTATGGGCCGCCCCACATGTTTAATGGATAGCCACAAAGCATTGAATGCCAACTTGGCATTTAATCGGGACATTTAAACGCCCCATTGCGGGTGCTCTTATCTATTTATCTTCATTTTTTCAATTTATGCATAAATTACAATTATTGTAAATAATATTTTATTATAATATAAACTAACATAATTTAATCGTTACAGTTAATTTTTTTTTTTTTACGGAACGATAGAGATATTATATATAACGCAGCCGAAAACAGCCACCAGCTGATCACAACCAGCCAACAGCTGAATACAAGCAGCCAATAACTAAAAACTGGGAGGACAGGACCAAAGCCTGCCTAGAACCGATCCCAACGGGGTAATACTCAAGAACACTAAAAAGAAAAGACACCAACCAACTAATAACACAAAGGCCCCAATAGGGCAATTCCCGAGTGTCGGACTCCAACAGAGTAATGAAAATGACACTCGGGAGCACCGAGGCCAACGGCCCAAACCTAAAAAACATAATAGAACACCCAAGCAAAGAGCCCAAACCAAAACACGATCCTACCACATAAAACAACAAAGATACCTAAAACAACTACACACGAACATAACAGCCTCCCGCAGCGGGTACATCCGAAAAGGTCAGCAGACAAAGTCGGTTCCGAGGAGAGCTCCAAAACTCCGATACCACGCCCACCACTGCTTAAGGCCTAGCAAGACGATGACCGGAGCCGCAAAAACAAACCGAGAACACGACCCTTTCTCCAACCACAGAAAACCACGAACACCATCCCACCGGCTAACACCACTAGCCGATCCGACACCCAACCGAGGCAGCCTAACACCACTAGCCTACTCCGGGGACCGTCGGCCTACCCCAAAGCTCGGAAATCGAGCAAGGGGAGAAAGGGGACGAGCGGCTTCCCAGCTCGGCCGCTCCAACCAAGCCCAAACGAAGCACCCCTATCAACCCAACCCGCAAGGAGAAGCCACGACCCGCCATCCCCGCACACACGCGGAGCCGGTGACCTGACCCCTGCGGGAACCGGAAGACCACCAACGGCAATCCTCCAAAACAGGCCGACTAGAGGCGCCCGACCACAGCCGATTTCGGCAACACAAGCGTCATCCACACGCAACCCCACCCCGCCATGCCCCAAACCACTGAATTTCGGCGGCCTCGAACGGAAATTGATTCCGTCGGAACCCTAGCCCTAATTCAGCGACAACAAGACAGAGGAAGGGAGAGCCGCGTCCATGGATGAGCGGAGGAGATCGTCCACCGACGATGACGGACGCCGGCTGAGGGAGTTGACCTGCGAGAAGAGATGAAGCCCGAAGAAGAGATTTTTTCCGTTACAGTTAATTCAAACCCTACTATATTCAATCAAAATATATCTCATTCCAATTATATTTAAATCACTTTATTTCCCAAGGTAAAACATTTTAAAGATAAATTTTAGGAGAATTTCATATAATTAAATTTTGATAGGTGAATTCTAGAATACATATGATTTTAGAGATCCAGTGAGTTATCATGTATTTTTATTTAGAAATTATTGAATATATAGTTTTTTGAATTTTGAGAAAGAAAATTCTTATTGGTAAATTATTTAAATTTTGATATGTACATAATATAAGTTGTTTTTTCGTGCTCGTGTTTTGTTAAAAATAAGTCATATAATGTTGGGTTTGACCTAGTTTTGATTGATTTTTATGGCTAAATATTTATTTTGAATTGAATTAAATTGTGTAAAAGAAATTCTATGTATCGAGTAAATACTCGTGGTATATTTATTTTCTCAAAATTGGTTTTCAATGAGTAAAAAATAAATTATTTAAGTTAACTATTAATGGACACGTAAAACGTTGGTTGTGAGTTTCGAAAAGTCATAAGTCTTATCCTATATTGGACTCTTAAATGAGAACAACTCCATTTATTATAATAAGAGAGTTTGAGAAGTCAAAACAACAACAAAGCTATGAACCAAGTGTTGGTGTTGGCTTCGGCCACATGCGCGGGCCAGCCGGCTCGGCACGGTCATTTGGACTTTGGTACTTGGCAAATAAACTGTGGACAGCCTTGGACGGTCTGAGCTGGTGTTGGGTTTCGGTCTTGAGTCCAACCCATGTAATCTTTTTTACCATGTAATCTTTTTTACTGCAAATTTATTTGCAAAATTGTGGCACAGAAGTAAAATCCAAATTAGGTGGAATGATGGTATGTTAACACCTTAAAACATTTATGCCCATTAGTGTGTACAATGGAAACTTGACTTTAGATGTGATTTACACTGTTTATATTGAATGAGAATTCGTGTTTGATTAAATTAAGTTCTGCGTTCTATTGTTTTTCATTCAGATAAATGGTTCATCACAGATGGACAGAAGATCATTAATCGGTTACTTGTAGAACACAAACAATTGATTCACAACCTAGATAAAAATTGAATAATCCATTGAAAAGATTGTAGTGTGAGTGGTACAATTAGTCCCATTAATACACATTGATGTATTGAAAGGAACAGTTCGTTTCATACTGATCGGCGTAATCGAACTATGCCTCAGCTAATTACTGTGTTCTCTTAACTCATAAGATATAAACAAACACGTGTATGTAGTAATTTGGTCGTGCTGTCGTAGGCATCCAAATTAACCTTGCTTAAAAATATGTAGTAGCGTGAGCAAGGATCGTATCCACGGGGAGAAGTAAACTAAATCTATTAACTATGTGATCAAAGAAGAGGTTTTTGAATTAATGATCTAATTAAACAAGAAATTACCTATCAAACTAACAAATAAATAAAACAAAACTAAATAAACAAAAATAAATATAATATGAATATGCCTTG